AGAGACACATGGATCATTCGCCTCCCGTGTGCACTGGACCTGGGACTGAACCTGTAACGTTTTGGTGTAGCAGACAGTGCTCCCACCAACTAAGCCACCCAGCCAGGGCTCTCACCACTTCTTTTAGATTAGGGAATTCCAGCTTTGCACAACCTTATGTCCTTTTTTTAAGATTTTATTTATTTATTTTTAGAGGGGGGGAAGGAACTTTTTAAAAAGAAACACATGCTTATCATTGACTCAGTTCTGTTCTTTCCTAGGCATCTAGCAGCGCAGGGAACTTGGGCGTACTCATTCCTGTAATAGCTGTGGTAAGTGTTCACGATTGAGTGGTTTCAAACTCTAGATTATGTGCTCATATTTTGAGTGTCGCACAGTGATGCACAGCAAATTCCTTAGAAAAATGCTGTTTTGAGGTGCCAGTGATTCTGTAGACGTGACTGTGTTTTAGTCACCACTAGCTTATCTGTAATTATGCCATAGGTATGTGCCACGGTGGCCTCACCACTGTACTCCCTTTCTCTGAGCCCTCCAGACTGTCCTCAGCAGGCCGACCAGGGAGCCCACTTCAGTTCCCTCCTGCGTTGCTCTCGGGTCTGCGGTCTGACTCTGGGTTCCTCCTGGGTCTCACATTCTGCCGTGGTGCCTCTAATACAGGTGGGCACCCACTTTCGAGTCCTCCCAAGCCCCATGGTCCTCAAGCCTTGAAGCAGCTCTCAGTGTCCCCTGGAGCACATTGTTGGCCCAGCACACTTTGGGGCACAGCCCCACCCACCACTGTGCTGGGCAGCCTTGGTACAGGCCCTGCCCCTCCCATGGCACTGTCTGGTAGAGAGCCCGTCTCCATCTTTTCCTGTCTCAACCTGCGGCCACTTCTCAAATGATTTTGATAAAAGGCGTTCTTCTTTCTCAGTCATTCTCAACTGCCAGTCCTGAGCCAGGCCCACCTTCTAGTTAAGCCCTTTCTTCTGCCTTCCAATTTTTTCCCACCTGCCCCCACCCCTGGCAGTTTAAGTCTCGAGCACCTACATGTGTGTCCCTTCACGTGAACACCGGAGGGGCTGACCTCTGAGCCGCTGTGTGACTCAGGCATGGAGGTCAGGCAGGCAGGTGGAGAGGCGCCTCTGATCTCCGCAAAGCACTTTCTGTACTTAGTGCAGTCTGGCCCTTCCTTATTCTGATCTGGGGCTTTTGGGAGGTTTAATTTTAACTGGCCAGGATGGATGAAAAACAGTAACTGATTGGTTATTCATCCTTTACCCTTAAGATGACACATTGCATTTTGTGGGGCATTCTGTTTCCAGTTCCTCTTCCTTCTGCCTGTCCTTTTCTGTCCTGTCCCTCCCTCCGGTACGTGGCAGGTTCAGGAAGGGAAGCAGAGTTGATTGTTCCCCATCACATCTTTGGCGGCACTCATCGTGCTGAGGAGACGAGGGTGGGCCCTGTGCCGCAGTGACTGTCCACGCTCCCGTGAAACCTCACAGCCCTCGTCTGTGCTCGGGTGTTCTCCCACAGCCCTTTGAGACCGGACTCTTTCTGCCGAAGTATTTTTCATCAACACCCTTGTTGGTTAACTTTTAAAAACAAATGTTTTCACTTCACACTTAATATTAACCAGTATACAGTTGTGTTTGGGCAGTGTCCCTGTACATGGGCCCTTTGTTTGACCGGGAGGGAGAGGTACGAAGTCCACAGTAGTCCATTGGCTTGTTGAAGGGGAGAGGGGCCAGGCGGCAGGTGCCACAGGGAGCAGGTTTTGGCAGACGGAACAAGCCTGAGCGTCAATGACACTCACATCAGTATACACCAGAATCCTGTGACACTCATGCTTATCAAGTCTTACAGTGCTTAGCTATTGTCATTTAGAGTTCAATAAATTAATAACAGAAACTTAGAGGAGGCATTTAGCACTTTTGGGGAGTGATGGGTGGTGAGCTTGGCTTAGGGTCACAAGGGCCAGGGTGGAACCCCTGATCCTGCGTGTGGGTCCTGAGCGAGCGTCTCAGCCTGTCTACACTGCCCTGCCAGCAGAGCTCCTCTGAAAGGCAGAGGTGACCCTCCGAAGTTCTGGCCGAGTCAGGTAGGCGGAGGTGTCAGCAATGATGGGCTAGAACATACTTAAAATATGATTGTTTCTTCTCCTGCAGTGACCTTTTGCATGAATATGGAATAAGTATTATAGTTTTAACAAAAGTTAATGGTTATAGTATGGGGGAGGAAACAAATATTTGATTCTGTTGCTCAACAAAGAGCACAGAGATCATGGGTTCTTGAATTTGCTTTCTGGTTACCCCTTGGACCTACTAGGAGAAACTGATTTCCAAAGTTTTTTTTTTCTTTTAATGTTTTGTGGTTCTTTCCTTTTTTTTTTTTTTAAGAAAAAGATAACTCTGTTTTGGATCTTTTGATAATAAAGTATCCCAAATTACTTTGTTCAGTGGAAGTGTCAGTGGGTTTGGGGCTGGAAGCCAGGGTGTCGGTCCTAATGCAGCTGTTCACTCATTTATCAGTGACCCTGGGAACCTGGAGGGAGTTGCTGGGGGCTGGGTCTTGTGATCTTTGAGGTTCCTTCCTGCTTAGGTTTGGTAATCTTTGCTCTACAACTTCATGAATAATATTTCTTCAGAAATATCACTGACTAAATTGCTTTTCTTAGTGTCTAGCCCATTAGTTGATTAAGCATTTTGAAAGTTCAGTATTGCTTAGAGGGCGGATTGCTCTATTGTCAAGAAGTAGTGATTTAATAGCATGTTCCTGCTGCTTGAAAAACACTTGTGACCTTGACTTGGAGCTAGTTGACCTGTGCTACTAGTAGTAGGTTGTTTTCTCAGTGCCTATAAAATGAGGTTTGTGGACTAACAACTTTTAGGTCATGGACCACTCTGAAAGCTGTGCCCTCTCCCTCCAAAAACAAAATGCATCTGTGCACAAGGGATAGCATTTAACCTCAGGAAGTTACGTGGAAGAGTCCAAGCCAAGGCCTGCCTGTTAGGAACCCTTGGGCTAGACACTGGTCTGAGGTGAAGATAGTCATTTTCATCTTCAGGAAGCCCTTACCTAGCTCTTGTTAACACTAAGCACAGATCTAAACTCTTTCCAAACATTAACTCACTTAATCCTCCCAACAACTCTGTAAGGTAGGTACTGCTATTATTCCCACTTTACAGATGGAGAAGTTGAGGCACAGAACTTGCCTCAAAGTCCCACAGCTACTAAAAATGTTAGATCCAAGATTCGAACCCAGGCAGCTTGGCCCAGGGTTCTCTGAATTAATACTTCATTGCCTTGAAAAATGGGTCAGCTCGTTTCAGAAAGAGGGGATCCAAGGGCATTCTGAGTGGATATAAGAGAATGAAAAGCATGCAGAGTAGAGGGCCTTGACCTTGCAGATGCCCAGGCTGGTGCCCGTAGAGGTTGGGTAGGAGACAGACATGCCGAAGGGCTAGGCAGAGTTTTTTGAGGTAGCTACATTTGGGAATAGGAGGAGCAGGAGGAACCAGCAGCAAGATGAGAAATGTAGGACAAGCACCAGAAAAGAACAGTGTTGAAGCAAAATGGAGGAGGAATTCAAGGAGTGGGTCATTAGCAACCTCAGGTTGACCTCAACCCTGTACTGGTTCGTAGACAAAGGCAGAGGTAGGTTTGGGTGCAGGAAGTTGGGAAGGGAGCATGCAGAGAGGGTTAGCAGCGAAAAGCAGAGCTTGAGGCAGATCACTTTACCTCTATGAGCCTTAGTTGTTTCTTCAGCTGTAAAAAGGAGGCAATGATAGTTCGAACCTGTCAGGGTCCATGTGAGATAACCCTGGGCACACGCATCACAGCGCCCCCTACACTGAGGAGCACTAGGTGCTCCCCTTTTGCTGTCCCCTTGACCGGTATTAGTCTCATTGGGTCAGAGGCCCTCTGTGACAAGACTCCACACATGACCCTGGAGTCAGCCCAACCTGCACTTGAACCCTAGCTCCACCACTCAACACTGCAGCGGCATCTTGGCAGGTTTCAGCACCCTGCTGAACCGGATCTCGCTCCTCTGTGGAGAGAAAGCCTAACTGTGGCGGTCACAGTTGGATAGCCACATGCACAATGCTTGTTATGCTCTCCCTGACACTGCCCATCATCCCCAGCGCTCTTGAGTTCTGAGCAGCCTCTTTGGATTCCACTTGTCTTAACCCAGGTAGCAAAGAGTCCAGAAATGTATTCCTCAGATTTGTTTGCTTTATCAAACCAGACAGGAGCACATCTGAGAGTCTCCCAGTGTCCAGGGTTGAAAGCCAAAATGTGCCCCACATAAAGACTGACATTTCATGTTAAGGGACTTATCTAAGAAAAAGAAGATCAAAACTATGAACAGTAAAATGACAACAAACTCACAATTATCAACAACTCAACCCAAACAAAAAAACTAAGCGAACAACAAGAACAGGCACAGAACCACAGAAATGGAGATCATATGGAGGGTTATCAGTGGGGAGGAGGTGGGGGGAGAACAGGAGAAAAAAATACAAGGAATAAGAAGCATAACTGGTAGGTACAAAATAGACAGGGGGAGGTTAAGAATAGTATAGGGGATGAAGAAACCAAAGAACTCATATGTATGAACCATGAACATTAACTAAGCAGGTAGGATGCTGGAGTGGGGGAGGTTACAGGGTTGAGGGGGATAAAGGGGAGGAAAAAATGGGACAACTGGAATAGCATGATCAATAAAATATACTTTAAACAAATAAACAAAATGTTTTTAAAAAGTAAAAAAAAAAAACAAAGAAAACCCCAACCCCAAAACCAAGACTGGTGTTTCAGGAATCCCCCGTGCAGCCCGTGCAAGCAGCCCTGCCCGTGGGCTGTAGCAGCACTCACTCAACAATTTGGCCTGCACACGAGTCTCTGTGGAGAACTCAAGTGGCTTTTTCTCAACCTCTGTCATTTCTGGGGCTATCAGCTCTTTTGAATTGGGCCTTTCTTGGTTATTTGAGCTTCAAAAATTAGCATTATGACAGATACACAGTGAAAGTGGTGATATTTATTTATCTCTAGGGTAGGAGGCAAGGCCATGTGTACATACTGTCCTCTGGGCAGCAGTGAGGTGACAGCAGGAGTACAGATGACAGCAGCAGTTCAGAAGGTTGGGCCTTTGTGAAAATTCAGCCCTCATGTCCAGGGCACCCCTTGAAAATATCACAGGGGGGCTTCTCTCCTGGGCATCAGGAATGGTGACGGCTGTGCACCATCCTGAAGAAAGGTGAGACTTCAGTCGTGCCGCTCGTTTCTGTGTTCTGTGTGGAGATGAGGAGCCCTGGTTGAGAAAGGCTCTGAGTAATAGAGCCAGATGCGCAAGGACGGGGGCTGCAAGGGAAGGAAGCGCCCAGGGAGGGAAGCTGGTGTCCATGTTGCCAACACCCTCTAGGTAACAGCTGACATGCTACAGGTACATTAACTGCTATGAACTGACAGTGTTGGTCACTGGGTGAAATTGATTCAGGCAAGCTCGTCAGTTGTCGCTAAATTTCTCCTCTCATGTGGGCCTCAACTTCAGAATGGGAGCATAAACCACAAAGGTCGTGATGCCAAACATCTCCGTTCTCACTGTTAGAATGGAAACGGAATTACAGAGTTCCCCCAAAACGTGAGACACCCAGACCTCCACCTTTAAGACTTGGTGGGGTTGGCAACTCTCCCCATGAAGAGCAGGCAGCTGGTACGGTGCTCATAGACGAGGAACAGAAAAGGGCGGTCCACGGTGAAGCGGACTTGGGTTGTCAGCGGCATGAACCCCACTGTGGTCACAGCAGCAGCTTGGGTGCCCTCCTCATTCACTGTGATGGTACCTTGGTGCTTGAACTGTTTCAAAATGGAAAGGGCAGTTGTTAGATTCTGTCAGCTGGCACATAGAAAGATAGAAGATACAGCGGAGTCGCATCTCATTCAGGGAACAGGTTGAAAGCCCACATACAAGGCACAGACCACAGCTGGTCAGAGTGACCCCTGAAATGCTTTCTGATCTCCTGACAGGTATGGGTCATTGTGTTTAGAGGCCACGTAGCATCGTAATCATTCTTGCTGGTGGTCACAGTACAAGCAGTCTGCGAACCAAGCCAGAGAGGCTGCAGGCACTAAGTCCTTCTCACACTCGGGTGCGCTTCGAGGGGAAGGATGGGGCCTGGAGCTGCACAGTATTTGGACTTGTGTCCTCCCCTTTTTGTGGAGTGTCCATCATTGGTGTGTTAGGTTCATTGTGCAGCGTCTCTGGGTGTATTTAACGGGACTTTCATGACTCAGCTGGGAGTAGGTATTTCAGAGTGGAGTACACACCTCCTCTCTGGTATCAGCAGGAGTGGGGCTGAGCCCCGGGCTGCTTCCAGAGACAGACCACCCTGCCCACTCAGTGTCTGGTAGACTCAAGGAAAGCAGACCCAGCTGCCCAGCATGTGAAGTTAGGGCCGGACAGTAGAGAGCTTTGCTGGGGGCAGACCCTGGGGATAGGGCAGAGGGCAGAGGGGAGAGGTTACCAGGTCGATGTTGATCCTGTGGTCTGAGATTCCTGTCATGTTGCTGTTTCTATCAAACAGTGCTGTGACCCCCATGGACTGCAGGGCCTCCACCAGGTTGTAGTTCTTCTCCAGCTTGAATTTGGGCAGGAGCACCTCTCGAGTTCTGGTCAGAGAATAAGAGGGGGCCCAGTTTTATGAACCACCAGTTACAAAAGAATCATGTTTTTTACATGCACCCGAGAGTGGTGCATTTACCACAGAATTGACACAGCACTTGTTAACATATCCCGGGACTGTCAGTGGAGGAGTTTGGAAAGACCGTCTCATTGTAACTGCAGTTACTGAAAACTGAGGCATGGTGGCTGCTGTGTAGGCACTTCCTCTGTACTGTGTGGTCTGTGTCCTGTCTTCCCGGTCAGCAGCAAACTGCTACTGGCTTGTGGTTTGAGAAGGCATCTGAAGAAATTCTGTTTGGGTTCCTAATTTCAGCCATTTCTTCTTTTGTTTAATTAAGGTCAGGGTGCTTAAAAAAAGAACCCTTTATATACCAGACAGTGCTAAGCATTCTTATTCCTTGCCTCAACTCATTTAGTCCCCAACTGGATAAACAGCAACAATAGTGCCTTTGGGGGCAGATTCAGCCTTCTCAGGGATAAAGAAATGTTTGATGCTATTCCCCTTCTCAAGAGCTTACTCTCGTTTTGGCAATCCAAAACTCGCGTGTGAAGCGGTGAAAGCATAAAGGCAGTATGTTAATGTCTGACCAACTAGAAGACATCTAGCTACTGGAGCCATCCAAGAGGGGGAGTGGAGAAGGGGTATGTCTGTGGCCTAGAAGGCTGCCCCTAGTTGAGAGCTGGGGGGTGGGTGTTACTGTGTGAGCAAAGGCCTGTAGGGAGGGTGAGGCTGTGGTCGAGCTGCGGTGCAGGGGGGCTCCAGGCAGGGTGGGGTGGGGGGGAGCAGAGCAGGCCAAGAGGCTGGGCTGTATCCCGTGTGTGGGGGTTTCCAGAGAGTTTATGAGAAGAGGCGGGTAGAGATGGTGTGGAGGGAATGCTGTTCTGGTGGCCAGTGTCTGGGTGAACTGAGGAATGGAAACAGGCAGGCTGGTTAGGCCTTTGTAGGCTCAGGGTAGAGGGTCATGGGCAGTGTGGTTAGAAAGGCAAGTACGGAGGGGACATTTTTAAGGAAAAATTGTCAAGGCCTGATAACTGATCGGCTACCTGGGCAAATACCTTCTGCTAAGGTCCTGCTTCTCAATTTACTGTATTCTCGTCCTGAAAGGAGATCCACACTCGATTTACTTCTCATTGTGGGCCTAGCCAGTGTCCAGTGAGCAGAAAGGAACTTGTGTATTTTCTGCCATGATCCAACAACAGTCTTAAGTGTTTAAAACCTGTAGTTTTGACTGTGGAGTAATAAATAATAATACAGGAAAATCATGCAGGACATGTGCTAATGAGTTAGGAGGACCTCAGTTTCTTGGGGAGGGGGAGGGGAGGCATCTGTGCTGGCAGACACATCCCAGGTTCCAGCACTGTGAGGGATGCTCGACATTGCTGGGAAGTTAGGGATCATGCCACTTTTTGGATGACAAAGCCAGGGCTCAAAGCCACAAAGCAGGTACATGGCAGAGCCAGGATTGTTTCCAGGCTGACTCTTAAGTCACCTGCCCCTAACTTCTCTCATTGTAGAGAGCAGATGTGTTTCTCACAGATGCTTGGATTGCTTCTCACCAAGCAAGGAGTTTGGGATGAATGAACAGAGTGGCCCAGTGTGGCAGTTCTTGAGTACTCATACAGATGTCTCCCTTTTCCTTAAAATGGCCAAGGTGACAGTATTCCTGGGCTCTCTCGGGGTCCTGGAAGTCACAAGAACAAACACTCAACCTGAGGTACCTGTTTGTCATGCTTTTCTGCCATCTCTCCACCACCTGGGGCATCAGCTGTGTCTCGAGGGTCTTCATTCCAGACAGCTTGTGTGGGATCACAATTAGCATGCTGATGCCCCCCACATACTCCAGCTGCAGGACGTCACAGTCTAGCTCCTGGTCATTTGCCGCCAGGAAGTTCCCCTTGGTCTGCATCATGGAAACCTTGACCACCTCTCGTTCATTCAGGCGGAAGTTGTGGTTGTGGGTCATTTCCACTGGGAATTTATTTACCCAGGACCCTGTGAAGTCAACAGGAATGGGGCTTTTATGAAAATGTTCTTTTAGAGCAGTGGTCCTCACATGTAAGCATGCATCAGAAGCCTGTAGGGCTTATTTGGACTGTAGGTCCCACCCCCAGAGTTTCTGATCTCCAAAGTCTGGTTTAGGCCAAGAACTGGCCTTTTGAACAAGTTCTCAGGTGATGCTGATGCTCCTGGTCTGCAAACCATACTTTGAGAACCACTGTCTTAGAGGATTCTAAGGTCAGAGCACTAACATACTTATAGGAAGCACGATAATGGTGGAGAGGATAAATAGACTGGAGTAGATTCTGGTTTAGATTCTGACAATAACTAATTGACCCTAGCAAGACACCTGACTTGCCTGGGCCTCTACTTGTTCATCTGTAAAATGTGTATCTTTGAGCTCATGGCAGATCTCTCCTGATGGCTTTAATCCCTGACACTCTGCAATTCTGCAAGAACTAACAAGATGCATTGGTGATACAACACTGCCATCAGGATCTTCACTTTAGATTTGGGTGCAGCACTGTGTGTCCAGGAAGATAAAACTAATTTAGCTTCAAGATGTTAGTAACCAGTAATGATGGATGCCTCACCGTTGAGACCTGGTGGTGTGTCAGGCATTCTTCTAAGCACCTTTCCTGTATTACCTCATTTTCTCCTCCAGCAACCATATAGAGGTGGTGCTTTTTATTATTAGCCTCACTTTACAAATGAGGCAACAGGCACATAATGGAGCAACTGGTTCAAGGTTTCCAGCTGGTGGGTAGATCCGCTGGATGAGACAAGCAGGAGGTTCCTTTGGAGGAAGTTTAAACACCACCTGCTTCTGATTCATAGCTAGGTTTCCTCCTCCCTGAGCCAGCCTCTGCCCAGGACTTCGCAGCACTGCTGACGCAGGCTACTCTGGCAGGTAGCTATCCTGACATGGATGTAGGATGTTTAGCAATATCCCTGCCCTAACTTCTGAAACTGTCCGTAAATGCTAGGAGTGCTTCCCCTTCTGCCCCAGGTTGTGACAACCACAAGTGTCTCCTGACACCTGCCCTGGAGCAGAACTGTTCCCCAGTTGAGAATCACTGCTCTCCCAGTTCTGATGGAACTGGCCCAACCTGTTTTCTTGTGCTTTACAAAGCAGTTATAACATCTGAAATTAAAATCAAACTAGCAACAAATTTGGGAGCTAGAGATTAAAATTACTTTTTCAGGCTCTCCTCTCCTTTGATAAGCCTCCATGAAAAACTGGATGTTACTAGCATTTCATCCCTCTAATTCCCAGGACCAAATTAAATTACTGTTCCAATATGATGGGGAAAAGAAGCATGTATTGTTTGCCACTTTTACACTTCAGTGGGACTCTGGTTACTAAGTTCAGGAGATTGTAAACTGCCCCTGCCCCAGCTGTTTCTCCAGCCCCTTTTCAGTTGGGGTGGCTTGCCACCGTGTGTCTGCCTGCTCCTCGACACCCAGCCGGCCTAGTGCAGAGGGTCTCGGGCCCAGGGGTGCCCCACAGACTAGTAGGGTGGAGGGCTTTGGTGTCCAGATGCCTGTTCGAAAGTCATCCCCAAACAGAATTTAATTGATTATAGAAGTAAAATAAATGTCACTAGCAGTATACATACTTAATATATAATAATGGAATCTGCATTTTTTTTCTCATCCAAGTTTATAGGGGGCCTTGCTGCCCTGGGCTAAAGTGTGGTATCACTGTCTCTTGCAGTGCTGCCCACAGCCCTGTCAGTAGTTGATATCTCTGTGATAAAGGTGAGGAAACTGAGTCACAGAGACAGCGAATGACTTACTTGAGGCCACACAAGTAAGAGATAGTGAAGCCAGGCCTAGATTGCAGTTTGCTCACTCCTGAAACTTGCATTGCTAGCCAGTAATAGAATACGCCTGTGTTCATCGTGTGTACAGGTTTCCTCCGCACTCTGAACACAGAGCAGTCCCGTGAAACCTTTTGTAAGCCAAACAGTGTGATGTGGAGAGAACCTGTTTTCCTGAACTGAAAGAAATCTGAAGAGTATTTTCATTTTTATGAAAAAAGCTGTTGCTGTGCTCACGTAGCTCTTTTGTGAAAGGAAAATGGTAACTTGCGGAACGTTGGGGATACCTGTGCAGCACGTGTGCCTGTGTCTGTCACAAACCTTTGGTTCACCTGCCACAAGGAAGCGCTGTGCTTGACCTTTATGGGGAGTAGGCCCAGGGGCCCGCCTCATTCCCGTGGTCTTGGCTTCTTCAGTCCTCCTTTCCCCATCTGGCAGAATACCTGCCCGGCACACCTGCTGGGAGGCCTTGGCATCGGCACAAAGCAGTGTACTGGCCCATTGAGGGGCCCTGGCCCCACAGCAACAGCCAGAAGAGACCTCCGTCCTTTGCCTGTCTGGACTGTTGTGGACTGCACTGTAGCTGACCACCCAGGGAGCAGGGCCTCCCGGGCCTGGGGACTCCTAGCTAATTCTTGGTGGCAGAGAGGAAAGTGGTCTGTGTCACAGTGACCAGTAGTGATGCTGACTCATTCCTATGTCTGCCCTCCAGCTCTCCAGGCTGGTAGAGTGAAGTATAGGTTTCTTGTTCAGGTCCCAGTTGAGGGCATTTTAAAAGAGAGTTCTGGGTTTTACAAATCCATGCCCATTAATTTCTACGACTCCAGGGGTCTTGTGTATGTATAGTGAAGGGGGAGTAGCCTCTTTAAAAAGTGTGTGGGTGCCTAGCCTAGAAGAGTTGCTCTAGAAATAATAGTTTATTTGCCCCCATGCCTGCCCATTAGTGCAGAAGTGTCCCAGAAAGAGTTGTGGGTGTTACTGTCAGTTACTCAAGCTGAAGAATTTCACTTCAGCCTTTTGTCCATGTTCCTGCTTACTGATAATTGGACAAGAGGCTGAAAAAAATCCAGGATGGCCAAATACTAAAAAGATTTTTGTGTTATTTTTTTTTTCCATTTTAACAAAGTGCTAAAGATGGCCTGCCTGGGGTGGCCTAGTTGTGCACTTGGAGTGTCATTTGACTTCTGTGTGCCCTTAGTGGCTCCATCTGTGAAGTGCGGGTGCTGGTAACAGTAACAGTCTCACAAGGTGGTGAGGGTTCAGGGAGTGTAAAGCACAAATGGGGCTCAGGGAAGTGTCAGCTCCCACTATCACCTTCTTGTGACCTTGCCCGTCTCTGCAAGCTGACCTTGTGTCTTGGTTTCCTGGATAAATCAGAGCTAGAATACAGTTCTTGGCATTCAGTCCACCTGCATGTATACTAAAAGAATAACTTGCACCTTTGCTTTGAGAAACATAAAACTATTACCTTTAAAGTAGATGCAGTTTAAAATCATCATCTGAGTGGCTGGGTCTATATCCTGCAGAGCATCTTTAATGAGGCCCTTGGTGAGCTTCAGAATGTGGTTGTTGGTTTTTGATATGAAGGCAGGGTCTGAGAAATCAGCCTCTTGGGCTTCGGCAAAGTAGTATTCTTTTACTTTAGTTTTGAAGTCATTCAGGATTGGAAATTGCTTCTGGATATAAAGGTCATTGACTGACCGCAGTGTATACCCAAAATTCCTCCTGAAGAGTCGATGAGTCAGTTTACGGAAGAGATTATGAATGGTCGTGATCTCGTATTTGCTGCTGGCATTGACGAAGTCTTTAAAGTGCAGAATTGAGTGCACTTGTTCGTGAGTCTCCCCCTTCAGGCCCAAGGAAATCATACCCATGGCAGTAGAAATGCCCACAGGGGCTATGAAGATGTTGTCGGAATTACTGGTCTGTTCTCTCAGTGCTCGGTAAAGGTTAAAAGCGAACTTTGCGTTGAGGATGTTAAGACGCTGGATCCGGGTCTTGCCCTGGAAGAGCTGGAGGATGTTCCCAGCACTGGCCTCTGGATCTGTCGGCAAAACCACGTCGATGATGTCAATGTAGTCATCGTCTTCGCTGAGCAGCTTCTCCAGATCCAGGTAGTCCTCGTCCTCCTCCCCCTCAGTGATCCAGTCATTGGTGACCGTGTTTTCCTTGTGGAAGTCAGCAGGGAGAAGGGGCATGCTCAGGTTTTTGCTCTTTAATGGCTCCCATTGGGGACCCACAGACGTGGAACCTCTCCCTCCTTTCTCAGGCTGATCCACCAGGCCGTTGTGCCCACACACGGATGTTATTATGAGAAAAACAATGAAGGATTGGAGTGGGCATTTCATTTTGGCAGAGCGAAAGCTAAGAGGGAAAGCATGACAAGTGAGAGGCAGCCCAGTAGACCCCACCCCACCTGTGTGGTGCTCACGTGGCAAGTCCCCGTGGCTCTAACCCAGGAAGATCCCTGGGAGCGCCCGTCTTTAACCATGTTAGGCTTATGGACTTCGAAGAGGACCTGGTGAATATAAACAGATACTAACCTAGTGTGGGGGCTTTATAAACCTGCCTGAAGGATCTGTGGGCCCCTAGATGAGAACCCCTTCTCTTTTCGAGGTTTGCAGAACTGTAATGGTCTGAAATCCTGGGGGCTCAAAGGCCCTGGGGGAGTTTCTTTTTCATTCATTCACTAAACTTTATCTCCTATCTTCACACAACATATTAGGCACTGGAGGCTTAAAGGTGTCCCCCACCAAGAAGCTCACCAGCAGCAGGGGTGGGGACAAACGTGCACTAAAGCAGGGGCTCTCATAAGGACACTACCACAACGGGCGGGGGTGCAATGCAAGTCTGGGGTGCAACTCTGCCTCCTGTAGTGGGAGTAGGGGTACCAGGAGAGTCAATTTTAATGCACACCCTGTGGTAAGCCTGTCTTTATCTACTCATCCTCTGCCTGTTCCAAGGAAGGGTTTGACTTGGCTTGTCACATCACTTCTGCCTGCCAGATGGCTTTGTCTTTTCTCTTGCTAGTTCCTTGCTATTAACTGCATCGTGGGTAGATGAGCTGTTATTTGATGCTTCTGTATTTTCCCAGGAGAGTGACACTGTTTGTAATGCTGTACAATCCCACACTATCTCAACTTCTGATGACTCCAGAAAGAGTTGTGACTTACTAAGTTCGTTGTGTGTGTGTTCCCATCTCCTGTTAGATATTCGAAGAACAATATCTGCTTCCAGTCAAGGCCAGATAAGAGTTACTGCTCCTGTTAAGTACATATTTGAACTTATCCGGCCTGAGGATGGGACTTCCTGTATGGATACCCCACTGCAAATGCTCCCAGTTTGTTGATGTTGACAGTGGCAGCCACTCTCAGTGCAGTCTCTGCGGGATGCCTGGTGCTGTACAAGGAGCTTTGTCTGTGTAACTTAGGCCCAGCAGCCTTCTACGTGTCAGAATACTGAACCTGCAGCTGTGGCTAGATTGGAACCAAGTTGGTTGAACATCCCCCTGAACAAACACACCCCTCGCTGAGCGCTCTTCCTGTTTGCCCTAGAGTGTGCCAGGACTAGTGTCCCCACTCTTAGTCACCCTCCTTGTGGCTGCTCCTACAGCACTGTTGAAATTGCCGCTTTACCTGTTGTTCTGTGCACAACTCGGAGGCTTTCGAATTGTATGTTTTGGAGAGGGGAAGTCATGTGGTTTCTGGCTGTGAAAATGTCTGTTTTGTCATGCACCTCCCACCCCCAAGTCTAGCTGAGGCTGCAGGGCCACACACGGAGCCTGCCCCTGGAGCAGTTTCTAATGTGTGTGGCTGCAAGCAGAACTGGGCCCAGTTCCCAGACAGAATTGGGCATAGGTATTGATGGTAATATACTTTTCAAAGTTAGAAAGGAAGAAAGTAAGTGACTGGGTGGAAGTCTCCTTACTGGGCTGCACTGAAAAGTATCCTTCTCAGATAAAAATAGGTTAAAAAATAAACCCAACTTGAATAAATAAGAATTTGGGAAAAGGAATGTGAGACCAGATGGGGACAGAGGTGAAGACATTCATGTTTTTATCCTGTGTGCAGATAGTACCGTATTTTGCCGTGTATGAAGAGCACTTTTTGCCCAAATTTTTTAGGGAAAAATGAGTATGCACATTATACATGAGTAGTACTAATTCTGTATCTATATAAATGTTTTTAATTCTTTTATTTATGCTTATGCATTAAAAGTGGACTCTAGAAAGCACTAATGATATCCATATGCAAAATAATACCCTGGAATATGGTAATTGGTTTTGTTTCTAAAATATATATATATATTTTTTAATTAATAAATAAAACAAAAGGTTTTTTTCCTGAAAGTTTGGGCCAAAAATGTGAGTGCACACTCTACGTGAAAGCGCATTATACACAGCAAAATACAGTATATTTGGAAGCTTCTTATACCCCATTCTGCATTATATGATGAAAAGCCAAAAATAGTTTTCATTATTCCCTTATCAGACGAAAGAGAAAATATGTCTGATATTTCCTATGAATATGAAACTAAAGATCTAAATGGTAAATCTTCCTGTTGTTTTTCCATGTAGTATAACAAGAATTATATAAGATACTTTAAAATTTTCACTAGGTTGTTGTTAAATCCAGATTACTATCTTTGAAGAGAAGCATTATTTTTCAAAGGCAAATCACTCTGAAGTTTGTTTTTCTGGGAATTTCATAAGGCGCTTTCTCACGGAGATTGCGTGAAGCAGGGTTGAGCACTTTGGTTATACATCAGAGTGTAGCACCGGGACATCCTTGTTCCTCGTGGCCATTATCCGGAGGCCCAAACAGGGCAGGTATAGTGGGAGAGAAGTAACTGCCTGAAGTTTTTAAAGCCTTTAATTTTGAAATAACTTCAGACTTCCAGAAAAGTTCAAAGAAGAGCATGTAGAACAACCCCCATGTACCCTTTCCCCAGATCTTCTGTTGCGGAGCAGTGGTTTCATCATTCCCTGTTTCTCTCGCCGTATATGTGTGTGTGTACACACACAGGCACACACATACACCTTTTTTTGCCTGAACCATTTGAGAGCAGGAAACTTCTCTTATGTCCCTCTAACTTTTCATTCTAATTATTCAGGAAAAAATGCCTAAGAACAAGGATATTCTTATACACCATCACAGCACAGTTATGCAATTCAAATAATTTAACATAGGTACAACCTTGTCCTGGTCTAATTCCTGTTCTTAATCTTGTCAATTGCCCTAATAATATAACTGACAAAATGTTATAATAGGAAAACTAAAAAAAAAAACAAAATTATTTTTTCATTTCTAAGATAGTATAGAAAGCTTTGAATTTGTAGTTTGATAAAGAAGTGCATGCACAGTTGTCCATCTCTAACCTCAAATAAGAATTTATAATCAGCAGAAATGTTAGAAACCAAACTCACCTCTGTGCTTCTGAGAAATGTGTTGCAGAGATGAAATCAGCCAAGGTCATCCAGCACAGTTTCAAAGTGAACTTTGGTGCTGGGCCGTTGTTGCGTATCTCCCAAAGTAAATACGTCCCAAATCAAACACCACTCAACCAGCTTTGTCAGCACAAACCCCTTAACTGCCTTTGATTACTGCTGAGTGACTTGTGACTCCTCGGCCCCAGTCCTGGTGTAGCTGATGTTTCGAATGCATGACTGTCACGTACTGATGGGAGCAGTCTCGCTGAAGCTACCACGTTCTAGAAATGCTCTGCAGAGCTCCAGGGCTGAGTTACTCCAGGGGCAGTATCAGCACTGCTTCCATGAAAGTAGAAGCCACTTGTCTGCCCTGCAGCTGTGAATTTTCCCTCTAGGATGATCGCAGCGTCTGCTTTCGCTCTGGTCCCCAGGGCTGACATGGCTACTAAGCGGACAGGTGTCCCCATCCTTTTGAGCTCAGTGAAAAGTGAAGAGGAGGAATGAGACTCATCCTCAGTCTGTGTTGGTTATTATCACTTTCACAAAACATAGTTTACTCATAGAAGAGATCTGGAAGGAGACACAGCCAACCTTTAACATTGGAAATAGGAGGCAGGTGGAAAGCTTTCATTTTTATTCTATATACTTCTTCATATCTAGATTTCTGATCATGTAATCCACTGTTGCAAAAACTGGATTTCAACCCTTAATGACACTTTTGACAATTTGGATCTGTTCCCCATGAGAGGTGTGTGGTTTGGGCTCTTATTATAAAGCAGTACCTTCTGTCACGCATACTGTACTGTTTCCTTTCCAGTTCCAGGGCTTGCCTCTCAGTTAGATACGCGAGGTATGTCCCACAAAAAAAAACAGCTGTTGTTAATATGAGATCTGTCCAGGAGGTATCCAGCCATGTAATATAAAAAATTAAGACATTTATTAAAGAAGACACAAGATATAAGAAACAGCCCTGGCTGGTGTGGCTTAGTGGGTTGAACGCAGGCCTGCAAACCAGAAGGTTGCTGGTTCGATTCCCAGTCAGGGCACATGCCTGGATTGCAGGCCAGGTCCCTGGTTGGGGGCATGTGAGAGGCAACCAATCAATGTTTCTCTCCCTCTCTTTGTCCCTTCCCCTCTCTCTAAAAACTAAATAAAATATTTTTTAAAAAGATACAAGAAACATTGTACATAGGACAATGACACCTCAGTCCCCTTCAGAGTATGCACCTTGGGACCTCACACAGTTCTTCCAATCGCCATCAGTAGCCTCGTCACATTTTCCTGAATCTCATTGGTGGTCTGAAATCTCTTCCCTTTCACAGGTGATTTTAGTTTTGGGAAAAGCCAGAAGTCGCAGGGCACCAAATCTGGGCTGTAGAGGGGCTGAGTCACCTGGGTGTTTTGATCTTCATCAGAAAACTGCACGAGATGTGATGCATGAACAGGCACGCTGTCACGATGTAGCTGCCAAAATCACCAGTTGCCCACAAGCTGCAGCCTTCTGAATCATCTGAATAGTTTGTTTGGAGGATGTTCAAGCTTAACCCCAACTTTGATGCAGATTCATTGCTCTGCTCGCTCAGTCATTTTTAATTCAGTGCCACACAATACACGTGCTCACTCCATATTGTCTATACCGCCCCCACCAAGTAGTACCAAATTACTTTCCAGAAAGAGTTGTACCAGTCTATAATCCAAGAGCCATGTGTGAAGGTGACCATCTCCCTGTGTGGTCCTTCTCCCCCGCTCTGCAATAGAGGTTATCATCTCTCCTACTTCTGTGTCCCCAGCCCAGAGTCTGACCTGTGCTTGGTGCTCGCTCATAAGTTACGGCACAGAGTTCCCCTTCCCTGCCGGTTGATTATGGGGGCTCGATGTCTGCTGAGGTCCTGTGAGGATCGACTTGTACAGCAGGCATTGTGCACACATTTAGCCATTTTACATGCCTGAGGAGCCACTCCATGCTCCCCACCAGGCAGGACACTGTCTGGAGCAGGGGGGCAGGGCCTTCAGTCTCTCACTCCTGCATCTGTGCAACTCTGCCCACACCTGTTGTATATACTGGGATTCTGCCTAAGATTACTGTTTGAAAAGTTGGGCTGCGGGGAGAGATGTGAAAGCCACTTCTCATAGTCTGTCTCACAGTCTGTCTCTCCAGTCACATCTGCTCACCTGAGCCCTAGCCCCAGTTCATTGTCGCCTTCCCCTGCACACTCCATCCACTCCACATTCCCAGGCTTTCGGCCTGATGCTGGGCAGGCTGCTCTCTTTTCTCTGCCTGGCTAAGGTTTACTCGCATGCTAACACTGAGACTCGTGACACCTTCTCTGGGAACTCCATCATACTGCTTGCTCACCTGCCTCCAAATTAGGCAGAAAGACCTTAAAGTATAGGAACGGGGCTCTTCCCCTCCCAGTGAATTAGCTAGTAATATTTGCTGAGTGAATGAACATGTACCAGGGAGCTTACCAAGAAGTGTTGGTCATTGCTTATGGTGCCTTTTCCTGTTCAGTCTCACTGACAGCTTCTGAGAATGCTCTTGGAGAATGAATCTGTGGTTGATTTCACAACCTTAGGTGTTAGGGTTTCGTGACCAAATAACTTCCTTTTCTCCCTCTCTTCTTGGCACATCAGCTCACCCGACGGTTGCCGCCCATCAAGGAAGCTAAGCCACGGTTGCAGAAGCTCTTCCGAGACTTCTGGCTCTATTCCGTACTGATGGGATTTGCCGTGGAGGGGTCAGGTAGGGGCGTGTCTGCTCTTCCGGGGAGGACGGAGGGCCGAGTGAAAACCACGGTGAGGCAGGACTCGGCCTAACTGTGAACGTGCACACATTCAAAATCAGCCCGATGCAGCTGCGGCTTCCTACAAGTATTTGCAAATGTTACACTTCCCAGATGTGGTTTAGGGTTCTGAGAATACCATGTATCTTAGGAAAAACCTGCCCAAATTAGGAAACAAGTTTGTTTCTGTGCCCCATTTTGGGGAGAATTGTCTTAAACCAGGGGCCCATGACTCCAGAAGGTGCCAGCGTCGACCCCAGTGCAGTGCCTCGCAGGCAGGGCAGTCGTCTCACGTGTGCCCTCTCTTCCAGGACTCTGGCCAGAAGAATGGTATGAGGGGGTCTGTGAAATAGCCACCAAGTCCCCGCTGCTCACCTTTCCCAGCAAAGAGCCGCTGCGGTCTGTCCTCCAGTATAACTCGGCCATGAAAAACGACACAGTCACCCCCGTAAGGATCCTCGCCCTCCCAAAGACAGACGGTGCAGCGCAGGGTTTGTGCCGAGCTCTCTGGAACCAGGAGAGCAGACCCTTTCTCTTGTTACAAGACGTGAATTAGCCAGAGTTAACTATTGGTGTCCGCCTTTCCTGGGGGCGGGCCGTCACCCCTCCAGTGCCCATGTGAGCCCCTAAGTGCTTGTTTCCCTCTAGGCCGAACTGAGCGAGCTCCGCAGCACCATCATCAACTTGTTGGATCCTGCCCCCGAGGTGTCCGCCCTCATCAACAAGCTGGACTTCGCCATGTCCACCTACCTCCTTTCCGTCTACCGGCTGGAATACATGAGGTAAACAAGCCTTTGCCTCCTGCACCTCCACATCTGAGCTGATTTACACTTTCGTACCTTCTAGGCATAAAGCTTGGATGGGACTGTTTTCAATCCCTCCCAAGATGTGCAAACATTCTTAAAAACAAAACACACCCTTTGCTTTTCCTGTGTGCTCCTCCTCCCTGAACACTAAAATTCTATGTCTAATAACACCCCAGGTGTCTGAACTCTGGTATTATCCTCCCCTCATAGGGAATGGGCTTCTGAGCAGTCGCAGCAGATGCTGCAAATCAGTCCAGTTGACTGGGCGAGAGTCCTGTTGGAAATCTGCCCTCGCTGAGACTGTCATTGGGCTGGCTTCTGGGACCACAGTGGAATGCAAACAGGAAGTGGGAAGGTGCCTGCTCCAAAATAATCCCACAGGGGCCTGACGCTCGGGATGCACCTATAACCACAGTGGGCCTAACAGCTGTAATTGTAATGATCCATAGCTGTCACTGTGACAATGTCAGTGTTAGCATAGACTGAGTGCCTGAGTGTATTTTCGTGCTTTTCCACTAGCCTGTGAGGTAGACACTCTTACATACCCATTTTGCAGATGGGGAAACTGAGATTGAGCAGTTAAGTAAATTGCCCAAGGTAATAATTCCTAATTGAGATGGAAACATACATCATCTCCTAAGCACTGGGTCTTGCTGCCTCTGGTAAATGAAGGCTGTGAGAAGCAGCCAGGATGCTCAGAATTTAGCTGCCTGTGGCTGCCAGCACTAAGGCTGAGGCGTGCTGGACTGCAGCCAGAGATCCGTGAGCCACAGAATCATGTGTCCCTGTCACAAAAAAAGTCAGATTACACTTAGCCTGTTTAAGTCACAGGATAGAGTATTTTAGAATATGATAAAACATCTTTCTCAAATGGTTTGGAAAAGAAGTATCAATTCTTAAAAGGAGGGATATTTGGAAAACACACCATTAACCTTATTTGGTGCCACAAAACTGTCTGGTAAAAGAAATCACATTTGGAAGCCCAGCATGTAAAATAGACTGAGGCTATTTGGGGTAAGTGGGAGTGAGCCCCCACCCTCCCTACCTCTGGCAGCCCGAGGACTCGCCACAGCAGGGCAGAATTTCACAATCAGTGACTCATTCATCCCAGAGGCCCACAGAGCTAAGGGAGCTTTGACTTTCTTTTCTCTTTTCATTGTAATTTTTTTTAGCTGCAAAAGTAATATGAGAACATTACATAAAAACTTGGAAATAAGTAGAGGGGAAAAACCCTGATCTCACCGCCATCCCCGAAAGCATGTGAGCATAGTTCCCTCTAGCCTTTTTTTATAAAGAATACATTTTCAAAGAAAAACAAAAGAAGTCATGCCAAAACAGAGTGAAAACCTGGTTTTAACCCTATCATGTGTGGCCACAAGATACGCCCTCAGCTTCATGTTCCTGCCGGCAGGGCCGTCCCCTCCCTTCCCACGAGGATGCCCATGAATGGTGATCACGGGCCCTCTGGACAGACCGTTGACTTGGCCGGCAGAGCCCTGGGCTGCCTGCCAGTCCCCAGGGGCAC